TGCCTTCCACATGAGGGTATTTCCGTCTTTTTATTTATAGGGACCATTTTTGCATAAGAAAAAAACCCCTTTATATATCATTTCCCCAACGACTGTTCTTCGCCAACGTTCTTCACTATGGCCGGTTGTCTCCATCGCCGGCAGCCTCCTCAGCGGAATAGGTTTTGGGTTTTTCTCTCCGTTAATCGCAACCTTTGAAGTTATTGGCATAGATCACAAAGACAAGTGCTTCCATTGCTTTGTTCTAAGTAGCATTAGCATCAAACATCAAAAAATCCCGATTAATGAATCATCATCGACTTCTCTTCTGATTTCTTGCTTCAGGATGGATGTTTTTCTACACTCGAAGGAAGTTGCATTGTGTTTCGAGATTTTACAGATTTTTTCTTCCATTCATGCTTCTCATTCATGGAAGATCTTAGTGAAGAAATTCCCACCGGCGAGAAACCATTCGACATCAGGTTCGTAAAATGATAAAAATCCAATCTTTCTTATAGTTCTCAACAACACCCAGTTTGTAAAATTCATGGATTTCCAAAGTTTTATGATTACATCACAGATTATCCAAATTGACAAAGAGTTTATTCATCATCCCCATTGCTATCACCATTGACGTACCTCTGATAACCGACGTTGCTCTATGGAAGAGTCCATACATGCTGATTATCGGATGGAAGAGACTATTAGAAGACTTAATCGGGAGAGAAGGCCCTTTTCTGGAAACTGTTTGTGTGCCTTTCGCCAGACTTGCCATCGTCTTATGGCCTTTAGCAGTTGTTGGAGTTGTAATCGCGTCTCTCTTCTCCAGTTTTGGTCTTGCTCTATATAGCGCCAAAAAACAAAACCCATCCCTAATTCCAAATTCTAAACATAAAGTCGCTACATCTGCTTTTCTTTTTCAGGAAAATTCAATCAAGTTTGGATTTGCGTGGCTGTGGTTTCATTGTTTGATGAGTACACAAACGACTTGCTTTACCTTAAGAGAAGGATCATGCTTTCCTAGGTATATGTATATAACTATATATCGTCACTACTTTTCAATTTTGATCGTGTTCTTGATGGTTTTTTTTTCTGGAAATCTTTTCAACTGCAGACCAATATATCGTGAGAACATGAAAGCATCTAATGGGTTAGAGAAAAGGAATTCAATTGATATCAAGAACGAAAAGGAAAGCTCAAGATGGTTAAGATTGGTTTCACAACGTTCAAAAACTTTGAAACATGCTCTTCAACAATACACACCTGTGCAAGTTTGGGATTGGTTGTTCAAGTCATGTGAGGTGAATGGAAGAATACTTTTTCGCGATGGTTTGATAGATGTTAAAGACATTGAAGAATGTATAGTGAAGGGGAAATGTAAGAAACTATGGATCAAATTACCCATGTGGTCTATATTACAGTGTCTTCTTGCTTCATCAAAATCTGAATCTTCAGGTGAAGGTATTGTATCTTGAGGCATAAGAAAATAGCCGTTGGGGAAGAATAGTGAAGAACGTTGGGGAAGAAGCTGAAAATAGAAAATGATATATAAAGGTTTTTTTTCTTATGCAAAAATGGTCCCTAGAAGTAAAAAGATGGAAATACCCTCACGTGGAAGGCACATGAGGGGGTTAACGGATTCTTTTTAACGGGAGTTAACTACAGGGACCATTTTCACAAACAAACCAGTCCAAAAGGACCACGATGCCAAAAAAGTCGTGGTTTGGACCAAAACCTCAAAAAAATACATACCATAGGGACCATTTTTGCAGTTTTGTCTATTTAAATTGTTAAAGACAAAACTGCAAATTTGGTCCTTGTGGTTTGCAAAAATCTTTGGATGGGGTCCAAAAAGTTTCCGGCTTGCACCGAAGGTCAAAAATCAAGGTTTTTCATTGTTTTTGGTCCAAAAAAACTTGAAAAGTCGATTTTACCCTTTTTCATTTCTATTTTCTATTTTCTTTATTTATTTTTGTATTTAAATAATTAAAAAAAAAATCTTACCCAACACTCGCTCTTTGTTTTTCTCTCCCTCTCTTTCTCTCTCTCAAAAAAAAAAAAACTTTTTGGACCCCATCTAAATATTTTTGCAAACCACAAGGACCAAATTTGCAGTTGTTAAACATACACTATAATCCAGAAACATAAATTCATTTTGCTAGGAGCACTCACAAAATACAGTTAAGAATACATTACTCCTCGTGAATCACAATTTATTTTCGATTTTATTTGTCAGGAAAAAAAATGTTAATTAACGATGTAACTTCTTGATGTTCATTTTGCATATATATTTTCTAAATATATGGTGGTTCGGTGATAGTGCACTCTTATGTGATTTTTTTTTACTAAATGATTTATATTTTTATTATTCAGTTATATTATTATTATTATTATTATTATGATTATTAGTATTATTATTATTACTATTATTATTATTTTAGTAAGTATTTAAAAAGTATGGGCTCGTGGACCTAAGTTCTTTTACAAAAATTGGGAGGTGATAAAGATACCTTGAGAAAAAGGGTCTCTTTGGTCTACACTCAATAAAACCAGTATTGGGGATATAAAAATGGATCCAAACCCAAGATCCGAACTTTTATTGTCTTGAAACTTGTGAATTTTATCTTTCTCTAATTTGTTATAATTAATCAATTAATATATTTTCTGGTAAAAAATGCAAAAGGGGTATCTTCAATACCTTCCTTCCCACTTCACTAAAGTTTGGTATTGCTGAAGAAGATTCTTTCTTTAATCTTCTTTAAGTTTAACAAAGAGAGTTTCTCTCACTTTTAACCTTTGTGGGTTTTTGTGTTCCCTCAAAATCGTATTTATTTGTTTATTTTCGTATTATTATTGAATTGAATGAATCCAATAATGATTTTTTAATTCAGATATGTATCTCTCAAATTTGAATTAAATAATCTGTACATATTTTTCTTATAAATGGATGTAGATATATGTCAAATACTCTAAAATGTCCTTATTAACTAATTTTTAAAAGTTTAAATTTTAAGATGCACATATTGCAAAATATCATATCCCTATTATAATAAATGAATAGTTTTAATCTCCTTTTGCCAAGTGTCAATCTAATTTTAACTCGTCATTAATATTATTATGTCATTTGTCATATAGATATATTAGACAACTCATTTCAAAATTCAAAGTTATATTTTCTAATTATATTTTAAATTTGAAGTTATAATAACTTTAAAATTTTGATATATCTCTTAATTAATAATTTATTTAAAATGACTTATTTAAAATAATTGATTAATAATTATAAATTTTTATTATAAAAATGTAATTAATTTTATAATCGTGGTTCTCATGGGTTATAAACTAGTATGATATAAAAACGTAAAATTCAACACGTGTACAACAAACATACCATATAGCTTACAATAAATTATACAAATCCTTTCTCAAGGTGCTAAAAGAAATGTTCAGCCAATATTTTTTAAAATTAACTTGGACCGTCTCTTATGTTATAAAAAAAATACATGATTCGTTCCCTTAAATTAGGACCGACTCTTATAATTTTGCTTTTTTTTCTTTTATTGGAATAAATATAATATATTGCCCTAAAAGAGTAGTCCAACAACCCTTTCTCTCCTTTATTTCTCTTTCAATAACTTCCCGGCGACCCTAGACATCTCATAACCACTACTACCAGAAACCACTGTGCACCGCTGTTGACTACCAGTGTCCACTGTCGACTACCACCAAAATATTTAAATTGTAGTTTGCATTGAAGGAAAATATCTGAAAATTGCTCCAATACTTGTTCTTTATCTTTTCTTGGTTCTGGAGAGTGACGATCTCGAATACAGTCATAACAATTACTACTTTCATCCACTCGAACTATGCCTCCGAGACGAGAACCCCCCACCATGGAAGAGTCCCTGGCTGCTTTGGTCGACAATCTGTCAAAACTCATCACCACCACCAACAATCATTCTGAGAAACTGCTAGCAGGTCAAGCCACCACCAACTCCCAGCTTGACATTGTGGTCAAACAACTTGCAGCCCAATACGAGCACACCAACACCCTTATTACCACCCTCACCCCACCGGTAAACAATAACATGCCACCACAACAACCGCTGCCACCGCCAAACAACCAAATCCGCTCACCCAAACTCACCCTTCCGACTTTTGATGGCTCAAATCCTCTTGATTGGCTATTCCAAGCTGATCAATTTTTCGTATTTCAAAACATCGCATCACCACAACAACTCCCCATGATCGCCTTTTATCTCTCCGGGAATGCATTAAGCTGGTACAAATACCTCTTTAATAATCGACTTCTCTCCACTTGGGACGCCTTTACTCGTGCCCTGGAAACATATTTTGGACCTTCATCTTACGACAATCATCAGGCAGCCCACTTCAAGTTATGCCAAACAACTACAGTCACTTCCTATCAAACTGAATTCCATCGTTTAAGCAACTATGTTATCGGTCTTCCACCCTAAGCCTTGCTAAATTGCTTTATTTCAGGTCTGAGGTAAGATATTCAACAGGATCTTAGCATTCTTCGCCCGCAAACCATCACAGAAGTCACCGACCTTGCTGAATTATTGGAAGATAAAAACAACGACCGCACCCGCCCAAGGTACACCACCTACAGTCGTAACCAGCCTTACTCACCACCAGAAACAACCCCAATACCACCACCGGTGAGCACTACCAGTACCATCACAACCTCTACACCACCTCCTCTTCCCAACCCACCAAAAAATATATCACCCTCCATATTACCATTCACTCGCCTGTCCGTTGATGCAATGCAAAAACGAAAAGCTGCAGGCCTATGTTTCCGCTGCCTAGCCAAATATCACCCCGAACATCAATGTAACCCTCCCCAATTCCTTTTAATCGAAGATAATGATGAAGTTCCACTCTCAGAAATTGCTATTGAACCCTTTACGTTCCGTGGTGGATCATAAACTTCTTCAAACGAATTCCTTCTCCTCTACGAACTCATAAACCAGGTTATCACAACTCCAACACCACCAAACTTTATATTTCTTCACCAGCTGCCCTCCACGGGTTATCCTTACCACGAACACTTCGGATCACGGGTTACATCGATGGGCACCCCGTCGCTATTCTAATCGACTCTGGTAGCACGCACAATATCATCCAACCTCGCACAACATCCTTTGTTAAACTCTCTATCACTCCAATTCCATCGTTTACGGTAATGGTTGGAAATGAATCCCATATTCATTGTCACAGGTTTTGTCCTGCGGTACCGCTTCATCTCCATGACACTCAACTTAAAGTACCATTTTATGTGCTCCCTGTTGAAGGTGCAGATGTAGTCTTGGGCATACAATGGCTCAACTCGTTAGGACCTATTCTAGTTTATTTCTCGGTCCTACAAATTTCCTTCAAGTGTGAGGGTAAGATCATCACTCTCTCAGGAAAACCCACATCCACCCTTGTAACCACTAGCGGTCTTCACCACATGATCCAAAAAGGTGTTATTGCATCAATACACACCCTTATCTTCCAAAATAACGCACATACCCCCACCTCCAAGCCTACCCCACCATCAGATGCCCATATTCAAGAATTATTACATGAATATGCATCCTTGTTTGACTCCCCAAAAACACTACCTCCCCCACGCAACCATGACCACCAGATACCACTCCAACCCAATCAACCTCCCATCAACGTTCGTCCATACCGTAGAAAACTTGAATTGAACCATTGGGCCTTCTTTTATAACTGACATGAAATTCAAATTTGAACCAATACCCAATGAATAACTGTCACGTGTAAAGTACAGAACTGAAGCGACATCATACCAATCGTACACATATACACGTAATGAGTATTTTTCTCTATCCAAGATAAAGCAACAGTGACGTTACTGTTGGAGATAGTGTCTAAGTCCATAACTATATTTGGTATGTACTTGACCCGACCCGACATGGTC